TGGCGTGTGAGTGACTGGCGTGTGAGTGACTGGCGTGTGAGTGACTGGCGTGTGAGTGACTGGCGTGTGAGTGACTGGTGTGTGAGTGTGCCCTGCGATGGGTTGATGCCCCATCTTGGGTTATTCTCTGCCCGGTGCCCGTAGCTTCCAGATAGGCACCAGATGACCCTGAATAAGACAAATAGGTTCAGGAAATGGATGGATGGATTAAATAATTAACTTTGCAAATATTCCTGAAATAGTCTGGATGTACATTTCAACAGGCTGAGCTACCAGTGATCCCAAATACAGTGACTTCATGTTATACTAATGCTGTCATATGATGATTATGATAGCTAACACTTGGGGGTGCACTTACACTGTTCTGCTGCATCTGACATGGAGACCACTTACCTCCTGAGCTACAGGCAGGCTGGGTCTCGCTTGGCTGTGACTCATCTCCCCTCACACTGCATACTTCTGAGCTTGTCATTGAGTATGAGCATTATTGGGAACCGAGATGTTAGCAGTGTAAGTCATAGGCTCAGCTGATACGTGATAAATGCAGTGCCGCTCATGCTCCCCATGTCTCAGCTCCCTGTGTCAGTGTGTGTGCCCGCTGTCTCACTGCACACGCGCCGCCTTCTCCTTCCACACAGATCCACCTCATCAGCCACCTGAGGGGAAGCCATGGACGGGCGAAGCTCGAGCGTGTGTCAGAAAGAAGGAGGTGCCGGATCCTGTCCCCCGTGAGACACGGAGAAGGCCCTCCGCTGAAAGAGCAGGGCCTCTGGATCTTCACATCCCTATGGGGTTTACAACTATGGGGATTCAAGGCAGATAGAGAGAACAGCAAGTCAAAGCAAGTGAGATGCCGAGTGGCTTTGCTCTTTCCATGTCTGTCCATGTCTGTCACCCATCGTGATGATCTAGCTTTGTTACTGGTAGGACATTCGCGTGTTAGATGCAGCTTTCTACAGTCCTACCCGCTACATTAATATGAACATTTCCTTTAGTTTCAGCTATTCATGCACCCGTACGTCTTCCACTACAGAGCCTTGTGTCCTTGTGAAGTATTTTTGGACCTGTGTTATTTTTTTCCCACTGCTTTCTCTTATGCTGGAAAGGCTTATTATCCCAGTGTTCCCATGCCCTCCCATAAGGTGCTGAGAACAGGCTAGGTCAGCTCAGCCCAATTAGTTCCAAGTTGGTTTGGGATTGTGAAAATTATACCAACTGAGGGGTCATAGATTCTTAACTTGAGTACATTGTTACATCATGGGTGACTCCTTAGGATGTTAATTCCGAAAGGGTTGGACCAATAAGAATAATTGACAAGACCAATAAGAGTAAGAGAAAATGATTTTTCTTTTCAATGGTTGACAAGAATCAATCAAAAGGCCAGTAAAAAAGCAGATGGGGGCTGCATCCTACCTGGGGGGCTCTAATCACTAGCCCAAAGCTGGGTGAAGACCGGCTGTTTTAATAGAGAGTTAATCGCTCCACTCTGAGGGAGCTGTGCCAGTGATGAGCAGGAGAAAAGCCCATCTGGACACCCCAGCCTGTGTGATACAGGCTTCTGAGCCGCCCTGCTCCAGGCCGCCGTCAAACCTGGCTCCCCACTGTAAGACACGCCTACTTCAACCAATGGCGTGTCTTTGTGCTTATGAGCTTCCTGCATGGGCAGCCAGTGCTGTGAGAGGGGAGCTGAGCCACAGCCAATCGAGGCCAGGCCGACCTCTAATCCAGGGGATAAATCAGGGTCCAGCTCCGTCTGAGCTGGGAGGTGGCCTCCATATCACCTTGCAGCAAAACGGTGTAAGTATGCCCCCTAGTGTTAGATAGCATAATCGTCATATGGCAGTATAACATGAAGTCACAGTATTAGTCAGGAAAGTCCTGGCTCAAAGATGTACACCCTTACCTCTAGTTGTGTAAATAGTTGATTGTGAGTTCTTTGCCATCAAATGTATATAGTGTTTGCTGCTAGATTCAAAATTAGAAACAAGCCAGTAGTGTTAAAAGTGGGGAAGGGGGATTTCATTATCATACTAAAATGGGAAAAAATGCAAAAATGGCTGTATCATCTATGCATAACTAAACATAGACTGATATATTAAGATCTATGCAAACTATCAATGAATGTGTTCTATATTAAGCTGTGTTGTTTTTGGAACTTCTGAGCACCTCAAAACCATAGACTTCAAAGTGCCTCTCTGCTGATGTCAGAAAAAAATTAGCCTTAAAACATTTCAAAATCTAAGGAAAAGGGATATGATACAGAACCCAGAAAAATTAAATTGCTGTGATTCTACTAGGTAGTTCAGTAGTAATCTCAAGATACACATGTAATGAGCTCTTTAATGTCCACTTTGGAACTCCTAGCAAACATGTGCCGCATCTCTGTTGTTCCAAAACACTTCCTGCCTTTTCTGCCAGCGTAAACAGCCCTGCAGTGCTCCCCGCCCGCATAGAGAACCAGTCATGGCAGATTGTGTGTTTACAGTCATTCTTAGGTATGTATGCACATCAACCTTAAAGTGGGAGTAGAGGACTGTATCTGCAATGTTGGCTGATCAGGTTTCAAGGGGTCTTGTCTTTGTTGCTTGCAGTCAGCCATCAGAGTCGGCGTTTTTGTGAATGTGACTAGTGCTCCTGCCATTTTCCCACACATTTTTTTTGAATGAGAATCTTATTGGGGAGATTCAGAAGTGTTGTAATGTTGTGTACATTAAAAAATGGGTTGGGTGCTTCTGTTTCATAGTAGTGTCATGGTCACCGGTGTTCTTTGGTCACATAACATGGGATCTCCTGCACCTGACTTGGGGGGGGGGGATGAGTAACATACTTGAACATTAAACTTACCCTGAGTTTATTCAGCGATTTATCAGGCTGAATTAGCGAGTAAATACTTCAAGTACCTTTAGATAAATGCATATTTTAAGCAACTTTATCTGGACTTCTACAGAGCTCCACATTTTTATTCTTTTCATTTTTATTCTTTTTAAAAATTTATTTAAAAATATTTTGTAGTCTGTTTTTAAAAGAATTGTAATAAAATCTAATAATCTTGGCTGCTTTGTCTTATCCCTGTGTATAGCTTGTTGTAATGGCTGGTCAACACTATGCATAGCAATAGTATTATCAAATACGCCTTTTTAGCCATGGTTGTCTCTAACATGCATAAGTACCTGGTGCCCTGCACATGTCCAGTCTAGGTTATGGACTAGCTACATCTGTTTCTACGCCTAAAAAGGTTGTCCCTTAATAGCCTTATCCAGACTTGGGGTAACAGAATGCACAGAAGCTGTTTTGTGATTCTGGAGAGACTGTGTGCTTTTCATATTGCCCTCTAGAGAAGGATGGTCACTTGCTGGCAGCACACTTAAGGCTTCAGTTTCTCATCAGTGAAAGCAGCCCAAATGTCCACAAGCATCACATCATTTTGCCTACGTTCATAAAGCTAGACTCACGTCTTGTATCACTTCTCTGCCCTGTACTTAAACATGTCATCTTGTAAGCCTCCTGTAGGTGGCGTATTTTCATTTGTTTACAATGGAATTGTAAACAATTTCAAGGAAGACATCAGATACTGGGATGCAGCTGAAGGTAGAGGCTACACACCCGTAGGCCAGATGGTATGTATTTCTATACCTTCGTATCTCAGAATAGAAAACAAAATGCTACTGAAAATGATTCTCAGCCAATACATAATTAAGCAGGTCTGCTGTCTTGAAAGCTTTACTACCATTGAAACCAGTCTGTCGCATTATATGGGATACAGCTTATACATCACCAACTCAGTTTGTTAGAAGTGAGTGATTTATTAATACCACATATAACATACAGAAATTAGAATACAGCCCTACACTTGTAACAACGTATTTCATTTTAAACAACTCTTAGTGTTTGGGTGCAAGGCGACAACAGGACAAATGTTAAAATATCTGAATGTTTCCCAAAGCAAACATGCAGCTTTCTGGAAATGAGGCTGCAGCTATTAATAGGTGGCATGTGTAACAGATGGCGGGTGGTGAGTAGGCATTGTTCCGCAGTCATTGTGGTCAGGCGTTAAAGGTGACAGGGAATGCATTAGTGTTCAAAACCACAGGAGATGTCTTAAGGGTGCAGTGTCCTTAAAATCATGCTTTACGTCTTCCCAAGGTAAAAATGAAGGTAATCTCAGCAGTCCTGAACAGATATGTTGGGGCTACAGAAATATTTGTTACAACCAGATTTAAACTGGGTCAACAGTAAAATAACAGCAAAGAACACTAAAGGAAAGAAGATATTAAAATTTAACAAGCAAGTGTAACACTCTTATGAAGAGTACAGAAACTCCATGCTTGGCATAATCAAGTGTCCACTTAAAATATATATTCTTAAATATTTAGAAATTCCAAAACTACTTTCTACATATAAAATTTGCATGCATTTTTAAGGAGAACCTGACTGTCTCATCCTGAGGCAATCCTCCCCCCCCCCGATGTTGGCAGTGGAGGCTGGAGCACACGCTTGGGCTACTACTTTCGGCTGCAGTCGTCTATGTATGATATCAGCACCTCTTTGGCTTGCGTCCCAAACCCCAGCGTTGTGAAGCCCAGCACCTTCCTGGTGTCGTCACCCAGGCCTTTGCCCTCTGTGGATGAAGAGATGGGTCACTAAGTGAGATGAGCTCGCACTCATTGAGAATGCCATTGATGTGGCAGCATCTAAATATATTAGCATTCTTGGCTTTACTGTTTCCCTCCTAAATCTGAGGTGCAGAGTGTTCCTGGTGCAAAGCAGAACTCACCACTATGGTAATAGAGGAATGCCACTCCAACCACAACTGTGAAACAACTGAGGAAGAACCAAGGACCTGCCGGACAAGACCAGCATCAGTGTTAAAGACCCCTGACAACACACCATGCCAGCAATAAGCTGAAGTAACACTGTGCATTCAGATTTAACTGAAACCCTCCCTGCCTTAGCCATGTCCTAAGAGAGACGGCCTCATGTCAGTTTCATCCAAATATGACAGATCAAGTCCAACAGAACTATGTGCTTGATTAAGTTAACAGTTACTGAATTATAGTACTTTGATAAATATGCTCGTGTTTCGGACACCCAAAACCATGATGTGATGTAGGTTAATCGGATAACGTCACATGTCACGTTTAGTCACACGTACAGTCCTGAGGCCAAAGGTGTCACATTATGATGTATTAAAAACTTTAAGCATATTACAATTCTGAAGATTCAAAATCAAAAAGACAAATTATTATACTGAATGATTTCCAAAAGCTGTCTTTAAATATGTTCATCGTTCAATGGGGTGAAATCGCTGACGAAGAGCGTGGCTTTGCCCTGAAATACCATCTCTAACTTTCTTTGGACACAAACACCATTCATCTGGAGGAAGAAAGTTAACATTTTGTCGGACTGAGCTTCATTAGCACTGTATTATTATTTGATTTACCCCTGTCATTTAGAACAAATTTCTCCCTTAGGTCGTCAGCAGTGTTAGTCCATTTTGGATCTGTAGTTTCTAGAAATGAAAGCAGCAAACTGTTAGTTCAACTGCAAACACAGAGTACAGCATATCAGCCTGTGTTAGTCTATGTCACAGCTCATAGTGAATAATCCAGCCATAATCCAGCTACCATGTGGTTAAAAACAGAAAAAAACAGCAAGGACTTTCGGAAATTACATTACATTTAAGCAGTGGAAAAAAAAACATTCTTGTCGATATAAGTTGAAGCAAACATCTTCATCACCCTCAGGAAACTACTGATCTTAAAAAAAATAAACTATCACCAAACCAATTGTTAGCGCTGCAGAAATGACAGCAAGGAATCTGGTTAATTACAGGTTCAAATGGTAACGACACACCCAAGTCAAACATGACTACAGTGATTACGAGGATTTAAATGGTCTAAAAATCACCTGCATTATACAGGGCAAACCATGCAACTAAGACGTTAATAAGCGCCTTCAGTGCATTCAAAGTGCATCACTTGAACCGGAAAACTGAATATTCACGTAAAAACAAGCCGTGCTGTTCACTGCACACCTGTGTTAAATTTCATCGCCCCCTGAGCCAGACCCCGTGTCAGTGTAGCGGGTTGCTTTGACTGTTCCAGACACTAGGTGGAGCAGTGCCAGCCTCTCAGCAGAATGTGTGAAGAATGTTCTCAGATCACATGTAACACCCTGAGACCGTAGTGTGTTTCGGGATCAATAAAGTTTTCTGATTCTGAGGCTCTCACCCCTGCGGTGGATGCGCGTGGGCAGACTGAAGTACACGTCCTCGGCGTGGATGTGCAGAGCCCGGTAGAACTCGTAGCAGGCCTCCTCCCCTTTGCCTTGCAGGTGGGAAAGCAGCTCCACCAATCTGATGGCCGTGGGCACACCCAAGTTGCGGAACTGCAGGAATGCTTAGGTTACTCACCTTAGGTTACATCATGAATCACACCCTCAACAGCCGTTTACTGGGAAACAAATTATTTATCTTACGTCACAGTTTCACAACAGTAATTAACTGTTGACTGCTTACTTGGCGTATTCTTCTATAGAATGATGAACAGAAAAATAATTTCAGATTCATAAACTGGGTTAAAGATCACCTTCACAGAAAACAGTGTTACTCGCACTCATCAACAGTCCCCATGACCCATTCAGCCATAAATAGCAGAGGACTGAACCCCCGGTTCTCACCTTCTGCGCCTCCTTGTCATTCAGTATCTGTGGGTAGATCCTATTGAGCTGTAACACCAGCTTATCCACCAGCTCTGTGCCCATTCGCTTGTCATTTCTGAGGAATTCAGAATCCTTAATCAGCTGTTCACGGTAACTGTCTGCCAGTGGGAAAGAAGTTATAAATAAGCACATTCATTCTGCCACTTTATCAAAGCGGAAAAACCTGAGATGTCATCATACTAAACAGGTGGGAAAGAAACTACAATGCTGCTCACGGGTCAAACAAACACACACGCACGCGCACACACATATGCGCACAGGTTTGTAATTATATCTTTGTGGGGACTCTGCATTCATTTCTATGAGGAAAACTCAAATCCCAACATGAAGACTGTAACCCCTACCCAACCCTAACCTTGACCATAAATAACAAAACAAAATATGAGACTTTTGTCTTTTTTTTTTTTTTTTGATTGCATTCACAGATCTTTATGGGGACATGAAAAATGGTCCCCAAAATGTAAAATAAACATAATTCACAAACACACAAATTCCTTTGGCAGATATTTGGTCTACATTAAGTACTCATTTCACCTTATTAGCATTAACTTTGCTCCAGACAATATATAACAGACACTCTGTGACTGTTAGTTGCATTATTCTTTCTGAATTTTTAAACTAGGAATTATCACAATGTGTTACCCTAAGTTTTTATATATATATATATATATATATATATATATATATATATATCATGCTACTCTCTTTGCGCAATTAGGTTTCAGCTTCTAAGAAGGTTATATATTACAAATTTAATATAAATGAATACCTACAATGACAACAGCACTCTAAAAATGTACAGGTAAACCCCAAAAAATTCCATGAAATCTTCCTCCTGTCTTCCTCTCACCTCTCTATAGTACCATCTAGGGACTCTCCTTAAATGAACATGACAATGTCACAGTGTAATATTTACAACAGACCACCTGTTTCACAGCTATTTTGCACATCCGATAGGACAAACTATTTCCCCCTTTGATTTATCCAGTACAGGTGCAGCCTTGGGTCCATCGCGCGCTGATAGCCTGTGATGGAGCTGCATCCTGCAAAGACGACACCCTGTCTGGCACAGTGCGCTTCCTGGCTCAAATATACCAATTCAGATTTGGCCATGAAGCAAACATTTATACAGTGACATCTCCTGATTAATGCAATTCAGTGCAAATGTAATCATTTTTCTCTAAATAAAAATATAAAAATATTACTAGCCTCTTCTGGTCTCCTCGAGATCAGCTGTAGATTTGTATGCTTCAGAGCAAAAATGTCTCATGTTCAGACCCAATGCATCATTGTACCTAACTCCAACCACACCCCTTTCACCGGAAATACTGCAAACTCGGTTCTCTTTACCGCCCCTGTTTTCAACCACTACGCATGACGATGTTATACCAAGAGCAGTTCTGACAGTGACTTCAATACAATTCTATGGCTATGTTGTCCTGTGTACCCCATTTCAGAAATGACATGTTCAATATCCCCTTATTGGGATATTGACTATAACTTCAAAAAAAGCTATAAAAAGCGTATAGGATAAACAGGACACATTAAAAGCGCACGGGTATTTTTGAAAGGATGGTGTAGGATTTACCATTAATAAGCATTAATGAACTCTTTTATAACAAAGCTTAAACGCTGAATTAACTGAAATTAGTCGGCAATCTTTTGCACCTAAGAAACTCGAAAGAATCCTTTTAACAAACTTTATCGATCGACTCTGGACAAACGCCGAAGTGCAGACACGGGAGGTCCCAGGCTCTAAGTAACTTTCCCGTTTGCAATTTTGTTGTAGCTCGTCTTAACCCTACCACAGTAAACTGTATTTTGGTATTTACAGGCTGCTACTAAAAGCAGCGCAACGTCACCATTCGAGACTCCAACAGCGCATCGGCGTACTGTGCAAACAACCCGTGAAATCGTTTGCTCTTTTAACAAAATTGTTGTTTTAACACCACTTTCACATCACAACCAAAAAGTACTGGAAAGTCACATTTTTCGCCAGAAATTGTCATGATCTTTTAAAAGCCAGTTGTGTATCTGAAGTCAGCCTGTTAACCGGGCTAAGTCGGCTAATTATGTTAGCTGCTTTGGAAGTTTACAGGCAAAGGTCGCCAACGGGACGGGACGCCCAACTCCTCTACCCGGCGCGGGAAGCCATTTTACTGCGGAAACTGCACGCCATGTAAACAAATCTCACTAAAATTCATTTCAGATCACGGGAGTTGGAAGGAGACTGACAAACCTGCCATAGTAGAAAGTGCTGTAACTTTCGCTCTTCCCTATGACTAAGGCCTCTCCGGTTACCTTCCCATGCTGCTGCTCCAGCTGCTGGACGCCGCCGTCTGTTCGCTCGCTGTCATGCAGCGCCACGTGTCCCCCGAGCCGCTGGCGTTATGCAAAGCAGTCCGCGAATTAGCATCTTTAAACGCAGGTGAAGTGAAATACATGCATTCAGATGTTTTCATTTTGTTGCACTGGCTACTTAGTCACTTGATACATAAAATGTAAATATTTTGATATATAAATATACCAGTTATATAAATGATGGTATGCATAATTTAAATATGGTGAAAATATCCAGGATACACATACAATTAATTTGTCTATGTGTTTATTTATTAATTATTTCTGATTCTAATTTGAATCCATCCACCCGTTTTCCTTACCAGCATGTCCTATGCAGGGTCACGTGGATACATTTTTAAAATTGTAATTCAAATAATTTTTAAACTTAAATATCCTCTGCCTTACACTGATATACAGCAAATGGTATTCAACAATCACTCCCCCTCCCTCCCCGAATTAGACTACAGGAACTTTGCTAAAATTGCAGAGGACATTTAAGCACCTGGTAGGGCCTCCCTTGGCGAACCCAGGACTGGGGCTAGAGTTCAATGGCAGCAACTAGCCTATACGCAATTTCCAACACAGTTCTAGTGAAACACATCCCTTGTTATGATCCCACTGGCTGGCGGCAGATGCGGACTGGCCATCAGGCCGTTTGGGAATGCTCTCGGTGAGGACTGGCCTTTCCTCCCCAATCCTGGCATAATATAGCCTATATACTAGGGGTGCCCAACCTGTTGGTCCATCTTGCCGTGTTTTTCCAGGTCAATCACAGTAAATGATTAATGGGTAACTCTTCATTTTATTGGTGGCCAACTGGTTGATTGTGATCTGCAAAACATACCAAATGGACCCTCCCCCCAATGGTCAGTGGCAAATTCCTGGGCTGCTTTTTGTTGCCAGTCTGCCCTTGTCCTTCCCTAGCTGGAAGGACATAGACTCACATGGGTGTTTCACACTGAGCGGTTCATTGATGATGAGAATCAGTACATCTAAATCCAAGGCTGTGGTGTTCTCTGGGAAAAAAAGCAGATTGCTCCATTCAGCGAGGGGAGAGAGTCTGCTCTTAGAGAAGGAGTTTCAGCATCTCAGTGATGGGTATGGGGTATGACTACTTTATCATGCTGGTCTGTTTGATTATTTATTGTTTGTTTATTGGATGTTTTATTGTTACTAATGTGTCTATTGTTTTGATGTGACACTGGAGAGGATGCACCTTTTAATTTCGTTGCTGTGGAAACAACAACGGCAATAAAGCATCTGATGATGAGGAGGAACGTGAGACTGACAGGCAGGTCATTTCTGATGGCACTGAGGAGGTCCATGGTGGCAAAGAGACGGAGGGACCTCAAAACAGGGCATCTGCTCCTTTGGATGGAGGGGTGACAGCTGAGGTGGTTAGGGTCAGCTTCCACTAGGGAGAAGCCCGGCAGGGAGAGGGGGGTCCCAGGGTACACTGGAGGGATTCTATCTCTGAAATGGCTTTGGGGTTTCTGGGGATCCCCCCCCCCCCCCCCAGAAAGTTAGCTGGAGCCCATGGCCTAAGGGAGCTCTGATCTGACCCCCTTGGCAAGCTGCCAGTGACCCCCACCAGGAGGAATGCTGTATAGAAGATGAGTTCTGCTAAAATTCAACTGAATAAATAGCTAGTGAAATAGGTACAGAAGGTTAAGTTCCCTAATATGCAAAACAAATACTGAAAGCATGTCGTGCACCTACACGTTGTTGTGGTTACCAGAACTTACCACCAAAGGAAAACAAACAAGCTAAGCTAACCCAGTTTCAGAAAGCAGGCTTCAAATACTCTGTGCATAAATATGCTCAGTCATGTCAGAGAATATCTAATGCGGTATTTATGCTCATTTTTATAGAGATGCTGGGTATCAGATGCACAGTGTTTGAGTGTGAGCTCGAAATTCACACTTATTAGCCAGAGTGGGCTGGCAGAGAGGCGAAGACATGCAGACGGAGCGTCAGTGGAAAAAGGGCTTTCCTGTGCATGTTAGCTTCAGAACAGTGCTGTTTGCGTCAAAACGGTAACGGGAAAGCAAACTGCTTTTCTGAGAATAATTAGCAAGGCAAAATTTAGAACAAAGAGGAAAACACTTTTTTTAAAATAACTTTATTACAATCATTTTACTCTGCAAACAGGATAAAGTATTACAACTGTGATCCTACAAATTAACTTCCTGGCACCAATATTCTACTTTTGTCAGTAGTTCGCCAATGTTTTCCATAGGAAATTTTAAAATGTTCTTCTGTCAACAAGCAGTTCCATAGACTCATCTGATTGTGAAGAATGTTCTCAGATCACATGTAACAGCATTCACAACTATAACACTGTGAATACTCCTTGGTTTTAGGGAGGGAAGACATACTCCATTCAAACAGCAATTTTTCTCACTTCTGATTTACAAGGATGTTTTTTGTCCACTTTATTTCTAAGCTATGTAATACATATGGACCATTCCACTGATTGGTTACCCTACACTTTAGTATTTGCCAGTAAAAAAAAATTGTTTATTGGCACACTAAGTTCCCAGTAAAAACATGAAATGGAAAAAAAAGCTGAAGAAAGATTTCTTATTGCTACAGCCTATCTGTTAAAAGTACCAAGTGCTCATGACAATTCCTGGAAATCTGCAGCATTCATCTGGTAAAAGTTTAAGGCAAGAATGATGCATGTCCAAGGAGATCAGTGATTTTAACTTTGACCTGTGTAGCTGGTTAATGTCCATTCATTGTCCATTCACATTGTTGGATCACACGTATATTATTTGCGAGGGTTGCCTCTCAGGATTGAGGAGATGTTGACAGTTCCCATTGGGGTCGTCCATGTACGGTCTGCTGATCACACTAATCGTGCGTTCTGCAGGGCTGTAGCTCTTGGGTGCAGAGATACACTCGGGGTGGGGCCCAGCAGGACTGCTGTATGCACTGCAGGGGAATGCGGCAGGAGTAAAGGTGAGGCTATCCATGGCAAGTAGATGATGGCACCTGGTGGGGGGGGGGAGCACATGAAGAGTGCTCAGCAAGGAAGGTCTACCTGTGCAATTGCAGATACAGAGGTGGACATTTCCGGTCCAGAAAGTAAAAATCCAGACCAAGATTTTGTTTCAACCAACCACTTGAGTATTAAGAGTCACAGTCACAGAGTACGCTTCTGGTTGGTTGAAACAAAATCTTGGTCTGGATTTTTACTTTCTGGACCGGAAATGTCTACCTCTGCACAGATATACATGACAATGTATCTAATTACAGGAATCATAGCTGAGTTAGCCTTATACCTTATGTGTGACTTATTCACTTAAGAAAATCATATGCATATTATGTTGTTAAAAATAAACTTATCTGCTTAATATAATTAAATATATCTGTCCATTATATAACTGATATTCCCAGTGACTGGGGCTCTTCTTGTTTTCCGGACTACCCAATCCCATTTCTGCAAGCTCCACAAAATAATAAGTATGCTTCTGCAAAGTGGGCAGTGTGATATTAATGCTATTATCACTTGTTATGCAGTGGAACTAAAATAGGAGAGGGGCCAAAAGTAACAGCCCTTAGAATGAACAATGCTGTGGCTTCCTCACAAAACTGGTAAGTCCTAAAAGACACAGGGTGCAGATGTAACATCTAACGAAGTCATTAACTGCTACAGAGGCATGCAGCCAGGGTCGATCTGTCGGCGTTTTTTAATTTTAAACTCCTTCTCAGCATTTTGTCTGAAGACACTGCTCACCCATAGGACATCCTTTTGTTACACTCCACACAGTCACAGATCAGCTCCGGCGTGCTCTTTTGCTTGCTTCTGTTATTGTTGTTGTTTCGGCCTTTGTGTGGGACCTGTGTCTCCCCCAGGTGCCCTTGCCCCGCCCACAGATGTGTCTCCCTGGACAAAAGATCACATCACCCTCATTACAGCTGAGCACATGAGATACTAGGGTTGACCTCATGGAACGGGATCGATAAATAATCAGCTCATGGACACGCTGCAGAATAAAATGATCTGATTTTGCTAGCACAAGAAGAACTCTTTATTTGTAAACATTTCCGCTCTCATCATTAAAGGTCACTTTCTGCTGCCAAAAATCGATTTAGAACGTCAAACGAGTTGTTTTTTTCTAAGTTGCTTTTTACAGAACAGTTACAAAAGACAAGATTCAAATTCGATCCAGCGGGTACCATGAGTATCACTCATTATTTCTTTCAGGTTGATAAGAAGACTAAGTTAATAACAAAGTCAAACACAGGGAAAGTGTTTAGTTGGACAGGCTTAATATTACATGTACAGCGACAGCCATCCAAACATAAGCTGACAGCTTCATACAATGAAAGCAATGATGATGGGAAAAGCTGGACCTCACCTCTCACGCCTCTGCCTCTCCTGTCTCTTGATACACTTTAGCAAGCAGCAGGTGAGAAAGGCCATGGACATCAACAAGATGACGGCACAGCTCACAATGGAGGCGATCACAGCCACCCTGAATCCAAAGTCCTCAAAGCGTGTCAGGGCTGAATTCAGGGACGAAGCCAAGTATGAGAACAAAACATGCACCGTATCACCATTTAAAATTCAATAAAACAATCAAAGAAGGTTCTTAAGCCACAGCAATACATTAACTCTGATGAGATGTAATACAAAACAATGAAATATTAATGTGAATGCTTGGAAAATTCAATCAGTGATGTGGCTGTGATGTCTCTGCCAAATTGTTTTTTTTAAATATTAAATTAAACTTCACTGTCTCCATGAAGTCACCAAGCTGCTTAAGTCTGTCATTTATTTTAACCCTTTGCATTATATCTTTAGCAAAGCAATTACATCCCAGTCTTCCTGCAATTATGTAAATGAATGACAATAAAAATAAGAATGGTATACAAACAGATGGCATTTCTGATTAGTTTATGCAAATACTTATTTTCATTTTGACAATAAACAGTCCCATAATTCATTAGAAATTGATGAACAGTGGCAAGCCTGCACATTGAACTTAATGAAGTCAGAACTGGTTATTACTTAATAAGGCAGGGGAAACACACATTTTTCGAG